GAGCCCGCGGGTGGCGGCGCCTCTGAGGGGGCGCCCCGCCCCCGCCGCGAAGGGAGCCTCGTCTTTAGGGCCTCGGGGGTTCCCTGAAGCCTGGGGTAACCAGGGGAAGCCTACAGAGCAGGCTTCCTCCTCCCAAGGGGGAAAGCGTACCGGGCCAGAGGGATGTGCCACCACAGCTCGCTATAAACCCCTCAGCTCTGGGGCGTTCCTCTCTCTTCTAGGTGGCATCACCTCCTGGCTGAACCGTCCATTGCCTTCCCCATTAGCCCCAGAAGGCAGCAGCAGTTTCTCTAGAAAGCAGTGTAAGGAACAGCTGTTAATTGGAACCAGAATTTTTTTTTTTATTGTAACATGTATTAATACATTTTATCTTGCAGGGCTATCTACTCCTCGTACCCACCCCAGGTTTCAAAAGGCAGCAAAGCTCCCATGGAGATCAGTTTTGCTTAGGTTAAAGCACAGTCTTGAGGTAAAACGCACAGAACGTATTTCTCTCCAGACTCTGAAACCCTCATCAGCAGCACAGCATCCTACAGCAGCCGTCTGAACTCCACACAGTACGAACACCACATGCAATAACAGTTTCTACGACTGAGCTAATCACTGGACTTAGGTACCCGAACTAAAATACTATAGAGGGGGGTCATAAGGGCATTAATGCTCATCCTTTCTGTTATAAGGTCTTATTTTCAAATATTTAGAACTCTGCCAAATGCTGTTGAAGCTTTAGCTTGATAGCGTCAATCATTTTCAAAGACAAGGTTAGAAAAAAAAATATTTCATTCATATTAACTACCGCTCAAAAATTTCCAATAAGTGTCCTTATTGTCTCCCTCTCCCACATACATATTTTGAGTTAGGGAAGTGAAGTTTGGATAGGAAGGACAGGTGAAAAGCACATGCATCAGATGTGCTTTTCCACCACAAGAAATTCACCTGGATTTGCCCAAGTTAGAAGCTTTTGACAAAAATCACAGTTTTGCATAAACTCTGGCAAGTCTAAGCGTAATAGCACCTCAGAAGGATTCGGCCCTTGCATGAACTTAAATAACTCACTGTCAGGATATCAAAAAAAGATTTCAGGAGAACATTCCCTGTAATGGCTGCTCTGGCCAGAAGATGAAGAGCAAGTTCGGATATGCAGAGAACCTGTCTTTACTGTGTGTGCCAACATTTGGCTGATTCCCAAGACAAACAGAGACGGAAGCCACCGAAGGAAAAGGCAGAAAAAGGAAACAGCAGGTCACTTAGTCAACAACAGGTAAGGGAAACAAGACAACAAGTAGTACTACTGGGCAAACAACACCTATGAGGAGGAGGAGATTAAGGAGAACGAAGCAGGCGAGCGCTAAAAAACAGGAAAAGGTGGGAATGAAAGGGGCACCAAGTCTGTACCTTTTAAAGCATGTAAGACGGAATGTGAGACTGAGTTTTGCTGTTATTTGTCAGGGAACAGCTGTAAAAACCACCAGGAATGTGCTTCAGGCCAATCGAGTGCTTTTTTTGATTACTTTAACACTGTTATTTAATAATATTACACAATACTGGCATCTTGCTTTAAGATAATTTTTAAAACGTTTAGAATACTTGGTTTTTCTTCTTTTAGGAATGTCTTTCTCTTGATCTTCTAAAGAACTGAGAATATCAGAAGGAAATCTGCTGCTCTCTTGAAGTCAATGGGAAGCTTGCCTGTGTAAGGAGAACTGGTTAGGATTCTGCCAGTGTTTCACAGCTTGTACAAAGTTCTCCAACATACTAGAGCTCATCTTTTTCATTATTCTTTTTCAGGAAAGAAGCAAGGATGTTGAGACTTTTCTGGAGCTCCTCCTTTTTTCCGTCACTCATTTTGTTCTTCTCAATCAGTTTTGTGATTCGGACAACTTCATTAGCAGCAAATTCTTCTCCCTGCTCCAGTATCTTGCTCATAATTTTCAAGTATTGCTCAGCTGACTTCTTATCGGTTTCTTTTGTTTTTTCTAAACTTTCTTGCCCCCTTTTCAGGAGGGATTGGCGTTCTGATTTTTCAGCGGTGCTCACAAACTTGCTGGCCAGCATATCGTATTCTTTCAGGCAGCCTGGCATCCCCAAATAGATGCCATTACTCTTCAACCAGCGCTGAATAGCCCCGACTTTGATTTGCCCAGTGTAAGGTAAGGGGTTGTCAAAGTCACCATCCTGGAACAAGTAAAAAATAGGGTATTTGTCCTTATCCAGCTTGTATTTTTCACCCAGCTCAGTGTTCAGCTTATCACCATAATCTGTCAAGAGAAAACAAAACACAAAAAAGCATAGCATGTTAATCAAAACAAAAAATTAATTTAGGATTGTTTCCTCCCCAGTACGACGGAACATTCATCACTATAGTTTCAACACTTCCTAATAACCTTTTTGCAGGGAAAGGCCATACACTGAAACAAAAACACTCCAGAAACTCATTTGTGCAAGGTGAACCATTGCTAGATTTTCCAAAGAAAAATACAAGATTCTAGTGGTACTCTGTTGTGACTGTGATAGTCTAAGGATATCAGCAAACCTCCACCCACAAGCTTGGTCCTCCTTATGGGAAATCAATAGTAATTTTGTTCTTGTTTTGCGCTATTAATTGATTTTATTTGATTTTTGGTTGAATGGAATTTCTTCTAAATCTAAGTGCAGAGTGCATACGCTTGCACGTTTTATTCAGCCAAGCTACAAGAGATTATCTGATCTTACATAAATTGCATGTATTCTTGAGGAGAGAAAGCATAATTTAAAGGGATTGCAACTAGTCTACTTAGGTAAAATCACGCATGTTTAGAGATGTCAGCCTGGGTGAAATTTTCCAGTAAGACAATTCCTGTAAGTTTACATTCTTAATTCTACCTACAAAGCAAGAACAAGAAAGGCGATAGTGATTCACTCTTTATTGCTTTTATCTTAAAGCTAATTACAAGAACATCAAGCTACACCAGCCGTATTGCAATAACCACTGTCTGTGCTTTATCAGCAATAAATGGAGGGCTTCCTATACTGAATTAATATAGCATTAGTTTTGTTTGACCAGGCTAAAACACGATTCTTGTAACGCCTGTCCCCTGGAAAGGAACCAAAAGGTTTCTCTTGGGAAAAAAATAAAACAAAAAACTGAAGGAGAAGGGTGGCATTCAATTTAGCAACGTGGGCTGACTTGCTTCATTAACCAGCCGAAATAAGATAAGCAGCACAGGAGGCACAGAGCAGGCAGTTTTGCTACTAGCCAGACTAGGCACATTCAATGTTTTAGTCTGACTGGGCTGGGCCAGTCTAATTTCTCATTATCAGAATTACCTCAAAGCCTATACGGAGCAGAAATCCCAGTGAGCTTTATTTCCTCTGTGCTAACCTGTATTGTACCAATCTGTTCAGAGTTTCTCACCTGATATTCCCACTTCAGCCACCAAAAGATCTTCACTGGAGCCTGAGCTCTCTGCCAGCTTTTTAAATTCATCTTGTTTGTCACCATAAGGATATTGTGTATCAAATTTCACAAGGACAAACTTATTCTTTGGAATTACCTAGAACAAGAAAAAAAAGGCATCTTTAACATGTCACGTTCGAGCAACTCTAAGTCATATATGGCTGCTTTAGCTTGTTCTTATTTTCCTAAGCAATAAGCAGATGCAGAAGGAAAATGGAAATTTAATAATTACGCACTCTGAAAACTGACTCATTGCAGTGTGGAAAAAGGAACGGGTGAGCATATGTATTCCTACATCAGATGACAAAGATTCTACATGGTATATTCAGGGGATCTGATGGCTTTAATTATAGGGCTTTAATTATACCCATGATTTGCTTATTTACTTTAAACCTGATCATCATCTTGGAAGGAAGTCAACTCAACTTCCAGCAGGACATTTAAGAGGCCAAATAGAAAGCCATTCTGAAGTGTCTCAGCACAAGAGCTACAGCTGTGCTCACAGAAGGTATGGGGAGGGAGCTAAAATGCTGGTCAGAAGGAGGTGGCATATGGGTTCAGTAAACTGAGACTCAGTATCTTCACTGATCCCACTTCATTTGGGCTGTTGCTTTTGAATTTTGCTCTGCTTGGATGATGACACTGCCCTTTCGAACGAGTTTGGAAACGGATCTGCCACCTGGTTTGGGCTCTTTTCTCCCTCCATGAGAAGACCTTGCAAAATGTTTTCTAGTGAACACAGATTGCAACACCGGTTCCAACCTACAAAGTCCACCGCAGGCACTATTCAAGTACCGACAGAACAGCTGGCTGCAACGCTTGCAAAAAGTCTTTAGCTCTAGACCTGTTGATCACTTGCAGCTTATTAGTACTCTTCCTCATGAGAGCTTAATATCGCATCTATTAAAACTTTGCCATTTCTGATGGTCTTTAATGTCCTTCTTACAGCGTACTGTCAATTACTTCAAATCCCGCTGTGTTGCTGAAGAGCTAGAAGCAGCGAAGGACTGCAGAGCACAGTAGTGTAAAGGCATCAAAAATGGCCTATTATAGCAGAAAAATCATGTTTGGGGGAAGCTGATCTATGGCAAGAAATATTTGCTCATGTCTGAGCAGTCTGTTTAGGACAGATGTTTACTTAACCAGCTCAGCTGATTGTCTCTTCAGTTCACGTTGCCAAAGCACATGCTTCGGTCCCATAACGCGCTGATATCTTTTAATAAGGCTTCCTTCCCTCTTCCTAAAGTTGGACTTCTCGACATCTTTCGCAGCGCTAGCGGCCTCCATCAGCTACTGACAGAAACCCTTCTGCCTAACTCGGTTAAGGTATTTACGTTTTAACTTGATTTGGAGCGGGGGGGAGGGAAGAACCGTGCAAGACCTCGCTCTGACACAGAAGTCTGTTGCTGTTTAAGGGAAGAAAAAAAAAAAAAAGAGTGAAACGGGCCCAGGCAAAGGACGCTCCGGCGCAAGGTCTTGCCG